TGGGGATGCTGATGTGTGTTGGGAAGAGCCAAGGTGTCCATAGAATGGCAATCATGTGATAGCCTCATAAGCATTGATGCGGTGCTCTACCAAACAACTCAACAGTGTAAATGTAGAATCTCATCTTTTCTTTTTCTCCTATTTCCCTTCTCTCCTTTTTCCTTGTCAAATTTCATCTACTTATAAAGAATATTAGCACCATAATAATACAGAATTGACTTCCATGCTTTTCCAAGACACTGCAATTATATAAGTTGGCCCCCCACCACCTTGTTTTCTTCGTTTACTGGGGGCTGGTAACCAGATATTTCAATCTCAGAGAGAAGTCCTTGGTATATTCTTGGGCTTTTCAGGGTAACTTTCTATATGTTGAGGAAGCAAGAACTCAACTTTTTGGGTTTCCCAAAAGGCTGTGGGTCCATGTGGTTAATCTGCACTGGTTTTCATTAGCTTATATACGGGAAATGCAATACAAAGGAGGTGCCCAGCAGCTCTGCACATAACGTGCAACCAACCATTCATTCTGACTCTTTTCCCGGAGGATTTCTTTTGGCTGAACAGCAAGCTCTCTGGACTCTGCAACTAGAGAACATCTCTAACATAACATAAACGTTGGGCAGCTGCTGGGAGCTGGAGAGGGCTCAGTCTGAACAGCTGTGTGGGGTTTGACCTTGGGGAAAACAACACCAAATCCCACCACCATAGGCTGGTTTCCATTTGGACTTAGTGCAAATGAGGCATAATAACAGTTAAACAGAGAAACTTGGAAGAGAAGGAAATTAAAAAGGCATTTTATGTGGGGTAAGGAGAGTGGGTAAAGAGAAGAAATTTCATGGATGATAGCCGAGAGAAACTTTTCAGGAACTGACAGAGGTAGAAACTATTACAGGTTGTTAGCTTTATGACAGGAGGAACTTTCACTTTTCCTTTACGTGATTCTGTACGGTTTAAGCGCATTTGTTTATTACAAACATGCCCCATTTTCTAACTCATTTCCCTAGAACACAGAGAGACCCTACAATTGTCGAAGTGTAGACGTGTGAAAGGAGAGGGGTTGAGAGGTGAAGCTCTTTTTTAAGACAGCCACAGACACAGGTCAGAGAGCTTGGGGTACTTCTTTGTGTTGGATACTCAGTGGTAAACATCTTGGCTAAAAGATGCCCTGGGAAAGATTATATGAGGACTTGGGGCTTTAAATCTTGGGAGAAGACTTTTCTAAGATCACTAGAAATTCCCTAGGAACTGCTTACAGCACTATCATAAAAGGAACAAAAAAATCCATGTGAAAATATTAATCATAGGAGCCTGGAAAGGCAAAGACATTTGTGGCTGTGGACAATTTCAAATAAATTTTGTTGCCTTCCTTAAGCAATGCCAGCTGTGGGCCTGCTTTCTCAAACCAAGATGAAGTGTAAGAGAAGGAAGGGGGGAAAGGTCCCTACCCCATAAAGACTGCAAGTGTGTCTGAGTTAAGGCAGTTAAATTCTATTATTTTCATGTTCCTCAAATCACTGTTGTAGGGTGGGGCTCATAGAGGCATAGTTAATGTTTGTTCAACTAAATACTTCAATGACCCATTAAGAAAATTAAAGTTATGTTCAATTTTCCTATTGAATTTGAATCCTGAGACTTTACCAAGCTTTCCCATTGTGTTTTTAAATGGTTTCTTGGACAAGTTTACCCAAAGGCTTGGGTCATTCAATGAATGTATTTGCTTTATGGCATAGCTTAGCATGAGCTTTGCTGTGAGATGTGAGTTCTGGCTCCACCATTTACTGGTTGTTTGTGGGAAAATGGTTTAGCCTACTTAAAAACTAAATTTCTTCAGTTATAAAGTGGTTTTAATAATTGTATCTTATCTATGGAAGCTTGGTGATTAAATGAGATAATACTTATGGAATACCTACCTCAGTATTTTTCACAGAGAAAACAATCAATGTTAATTGGAGCTGATCATCAACATCCTCTTCCTCTTCTTCCTCATCATCTAGAAGAGGGGTGGTAAACTACGGCTCACTGCTAGTTTTTGTAAATAAGTTTTATTGGAACACAGCCATGTCCTTTTGTTTATGTATTTCCTATAGTGGCTTTCATTCTACAGGGCAGAGTTAAGGAGTTGTGATAGAGACCATAAAACTCACAAAGCCTAAAATATTTACTCTCTGGCCCTTTACAGAAAAGGTCTGCTGATCCCTATTCTAGAAGGAAGAAAATCTAGGAATGTGTTTGTACTTTTCCTGGGCTTAAATTACCAGGAACTCATAGCTTTGATTAGAAGAAACTAGATGAAGAGTTTAAATAAACCCTTAAAGTCTGGAACATTATGTTTTCTTCATAGATTCAAAAAATATACTTAGAGGCAGAGATGAACACATGCTAAGAAAGACATGGGAAATCTTCAAACCTAAGCTTTTTACCTGAAGAAAAAGAACAGTTAGAATCCTTTGGCTTAATAGAAAAGCCACAGAAGCAAGCAGAGAAATCCTAATGAGTTAGAGGATAATCATTTCCAAGGATTCTGAGTGTGTCTTATTTTATTAAAATAAAATTTCTTTTTTCTGAGTTCAGAGACATAATCTGGAGAAGGCCATAGAGCACTTATAGCCAGGAAGTGTTTGCACATAATAACAGATATGCTATTTGTTCCCAGTAATTTTTTTTCTTTAAATCCCAGAGTTAACATAGTCAAATACAGAGCAAGTGGAATTCCTCCTCTGTAATTCTAAAATTGTCTTTTTAGACTCACAGTAGAGAAAAGAATTTGAAAAAGGCCACTTGGAAGACAGTGACTAAAGTTGATGACAACAGATTGGAAAGAGAATTAAAAAGGATCAAAAAAACACAGCACTTCAAGATTAGATGAAAACTGCTCTGGGCAGATGAGCTGGAGAGGGGAAGAGAGAGAGAGGACCTGCCTAAAAAGAAGGGTTGGTATGGCTCAACATGAGGCCAGGGAACCATAAAGACAGGGTTAGTGTCAGCATTAGAAGTTGGTGGGCCTCAGGACACAAGCACCACCCTTCACTGGGGCTTGGCAGGCCACATGAGAGTTAGGGTCCCACCACCTTTTGATGAATACATGACATGTGTCTCTTGGTCTAAGGGGTTATGTTAGATGATCTTGTTTCCCACTGATCATCTGGAAGGAATGATGGACGGCCCTTGGTGCCCTTAAACTTTGCTCATCTCTTTTCAAACTACTGCATATAATTCCCATGCTAAGGGCTAAGGGTGTGTGCGCATAAACAGGGAGTGAGACCTGGGCTACTGCAGGGTTGAAGCGAGGTAGAAATAACAGTTGCCAACGTCTGTCCTGGGGCTGGAAGACAGTACAGGGTTGGTGTTAGCTGTAGATCTCCCCCAAACCAAGACTGTGGTGGGATCCACCCTGTGGAAGATTGTAATGTTTAGGAAGTTGTTAAGAAATTGATATGCAGAAGTTTCCAAGCAATTCTCATTTGTCTCTTAGTTTGTCCTAAGGTGTATAATAGTGATCATGTAAAGCACTGAAAACACTGCTTGCAGGACAAATGCTCAATGCATGAATCACGAGTTTTTATTCTTCCAGGGAAACAGAACAAATATGATAGATATAGATATACATAAGAGGGAATTTACTATGAGAATTGGCTTACACAATTCTGCAGGCTGAGGAGCCCTACGACAGGCTTGTGTGTAGACTGGAGAACAAGAGAAGCTGGTGGTATGATTCAATCAGAGTCCAAAGGTCAGAGAACCCTGTGGGGGATGGAAAGAGGGGCACTGATATAATTCCTAGAGTTCAAAGGCTCAATAACTTGGAGTTCTGATATCCAAGGGCAGAGAAGATGGATGTACCAGCCTCAAAAGAGAGGGAAAATTCACCCTTTTTCTACCATTTTGTTGCCCTCAGTGGAATGGATGATACCTACTCAACACTGGTGAAAGTAGATTTTCTTTACTCAGTCTATTGACTCAAATGCTAATCTCTTCCAGAGACACCCTCACAGACACACTCAGAAATAATGTTTCATCAGCTATCTGGGCATCCCTTAGCTCAGTCAGGTTCACAAACAAATTAACAATCACATTGTTATTATTTTTATGGTTGAAACCAAACTGAAAACTTTGGTTTTTGCTGTTTAGCAAAGAAATTCTATTTGTTTCTTAAAAACAAACAAGCAAAAAGCACTTAACCTGATAAGTCAGCACAGCTTTCAAATCCTCATTCCTTGAAACCTCTTGTCCTGGCTGCTCCCTCCTGCTTGCTCTGTGAGGAATTCCTCAGGCAGCAATGTGCAGGAACTGACTGCGCGGGATGATACCTGAGCTACATGTGGACTATTCCGAGCTGCTTTTTGTTCGTCGTTCCTGAACGAGCAACTGAAAATTCCCCATGTGATCACTCCCTCTACAGCTCTTGCCTTCCCAGAAACATGAGGCTTGCTGTTTTGTACATTTGCAGGATAAAAGAAATGTAAACATTTAAAGGCATAATGGGGTTAGTTAGGTAAAACAACCCATCTCACATCATCTGCAGAAGAAATCCAATATGTTTTGGGGTTCATTGGGGAACCAGAGAATATTCAGTTTTATGAGAGGATTAAGTTTTTATTGAATTACGTCTTTATTCAAGGCGCTTTGGTTCATCTACTAAAATAGGGAGTTTCACTCAGTGATCTTTGGACTAGGAAAATTTAAATCATGATAAGAATCTTTTCATGAATCAGTTCTTTTCTTTTTTTCTTTTTTTTGAGACAAAGTCTTGCTGTGTCACCCAGGCTGGAGTGCCGTGGCGTGCTCTCAGCTCACTGCACTACCGCCTCCCGGGTGCAAGCGATTCTCCTGCTTCAGCCTCCTGAGTAGCTACAATTACAGGTGGACACCACCATGCCCGGTAAATTTTTGTATTTTTTTAAGCAGAAACAGGGTTTCACCATGTTGGTCAGGTTGGTCTCGAACTCCTGACCTCATGATCCGCCCATCTCGGCCTCCCAAAGTGCTGGGATTACAGGTGAATCAGTTCTTTCAACGAAGACTTTGTTGGGGGCTGAGGGCTGCCGGACATTGGGCACCCCTGAAGATGAAGCCAGTTGTGTCTATTGGCCGTTTCTCTAAATAGCCAAAGCAAGTGTGCTCAGTGCCTTGGAGTGGCCCAAGGGCTGTGGAATGAATAGTAAAAAAAAAGTCTCAGGAAAACTGGGTTCTAGTTATGATTTTTCCATTAATAATTGAGGCTTTTGAGCTTCTCTGGGCTTCAATTTTATCATCTGTAAAAATAAAAGCATAAGACTATTGGTGATTCCCAAATACTGATATAATGTCAAGCTAATGACTTAAAACCCCTCCGGGAGAGGTTGTTAAAGGCACACATTTCTTAGCATAGATCTGGAAACAACCTAACTGTCCATGAGTAGGGCAGTGGTTAAATAAGCTATGGTCTATCCAACCATAAGTGCCCTTTGAAAAGTATGAATTAGATCTGCATGTGTTGATATAGAAAGATCTCTAAGGAATATCATCCATTGAAAAAAGTAAAGTGCAGAGCAATATATATGGCAAAATTTCTCTTGTGTAATTGAAAACGCATTGTGTATGTGTGTGTGTGTGTGTGTGTGTGACTGAAAATGCATATATATATATATATATATATATATATGGCACAAACTTGCTTTCAGGTTTTGTTTACATGGGGGTATACATGAAATTGTTAACAATGTTTACCTTAATAAAGTCTAACAGCTCTATGAGCAGGGTGATATTTAAAATATTGCTAATAACAATGGTAATGTTAATAGTTAAGGGCTGATTCACCCTACCTATTTCTGAGGTCTTCCTTTTTATTGTAGCTGTCAACATTTATCTACTAATGTGTTATAATAAAGAAGGAGACTTGGTACTGTGGGGAGAATACTGAATGGGCAGTAGTGGATCTGAATGTAAATCATATTCTACTTGAACATTCTCGTGCAAGTAACTTCACTTCCTAGATCTCAATCTCCTCATGTTTTAAATGCGGTAATAGGACTAGCAGTAAAATACGGTGTTTTTATTTTAATTTGCAGGTAGTGTTTATAAGATATCTGGGGAGAAACAAAGGAACACATACACACATTCAAATACAGAAAAAATGAGTAAAGAGCATTGCTAACTCTCAACAAATACTTTAAGGTTCTTTCTTTCTTCACGCTATGGGCTTTATCCTTGGGGAATTGTATAATCTCATATGGAAGACAAAACAAATTTGTGTGAACCGACTAGAGAATAATATAAAAGCCACATATGACAGCCCTGGATTAACCTCATCCTTTCAGCTCCTTTTAAAATATTACTCACCTGAAACTCAAGAAAACCAGACTCAGCAATAAATGTAAAACCCAAGTCCCTTGACCACATTTGCGCTGAAATGTAAAACAAAGGGTTAGACAGGTACAGGTTCCTTTGTAGTGATAAAATCCTCTGATTCCATTATACAATCTCCAGAAGGAGGTCCCAGCTGAATAACCTTTTCCCTTGAGACTAGATTCTTCCCTGTTCCGTAGAGTCCCCATTTTCAATTTAGGGTTTTGACAACCCCATACAACTTCTGTGTACAACGTTCTCCAAGATAAGGTCAAGGAGAAGCCTTTACATTATGTCAGCCCATTATCTGGGCTCGAGAGCCTCCCTTGGCTCCGCCCTGTCTGGGCAATGCAGTGGGAGAGGGGACTGGGCTGGGGTGGCCAGGTGGCTGTCTGGTCTGCCTAATCACAAAGACCCCAGTGAGTGTGAGACGAGCACATGACAGGGGCTCTGGGCAGGTCAGACTTGACGCCTAACTTGACCCCACTGACAGCCAGAGTTCGATAAAGACATGATTGAGTTGGGGATTTCTTTCTGACAGTTTAATGGATGGCTATAATTAGGGGCCTGCTCTGAGGGTGTGGAAACACATAGGCCCCATTGTAGGGAGGCTAAATGCTACGAAGGTCAAGGCCAAAATATGGTATGAAAGAAGCTCAACGTTTTCCAACATGCAGGAGAAGTGAGTCAGTAGCGAAACGCGTTTACTGAGCGTGATCAAGCATACCCACTTCTTTTCGGTTCCTGAGCCTGACAGTTGTCATCAGTGGTGGCTCTCTGAAGCAGAGCTTCAGTCCTTGTGGCTCCAGAGACTAGCACTGTAAGGTGGGCTTGACAGGATAAACTTCCCTCCTGACCTCAGAAAGCAACTGACTTTCTTTTCTTCTCCTGGAACCATCTCCCTGACCAAAAATAATGACAACAGCAATAACGGAGACACACACATCGAATTTTAATGTTAAATTTAAACAGCATTTGTCAGTTTGTTTATGCTTCTTTGTCAAAATAATGATTAATGAAAGTGGCTTTAAGCCCTAGATAGTTTCTGGGACATTTTAAAAGCCTTTTTCTTAGAATAAAGGAGTCATGATGTGCCAGCCATAATAAGATCCAACTAGCAATGATCAAAAAAAAAATACAGTGAGTAATGGCAATAATGTTCTCATTAAAGAAAAACAGCTCAAAACTTAGACAGAAATAGAGGGAATTAGTGAACTGCATCCATCGAGGGCTCATAGGCTGCCTTTGGAAGTACTCTTACCTGGTCACGGTACTAGTGAATTCATTTCCTGGTTAAGTTGGTAAGGTAGGCATCTTGAAAGACATTCATTAATCAAATAATCAGATAATTCCAGGACTGAAAAGGATTTTGGAGGTGCAAGAGTGCCAAGAAGCTGACCCACCTCTGCTGTGTGGATTGTGGTGAACAGAAGCTCTGACTCCTTTACACTGCCGATGCCAATCTGGGTAGCTATGAGTATTAACAAACTTGTCCTGATATGGTAGTCACACGTACCCGCATTTTCACTTGCTACAGTTTTAGTTACCTGTGGTTAACCGCAGTCCGGAAATAGTAAATGACAAATCTCAGAAATACACATAAGTTTTAAATTATATGAGTGGTGTGATAAAATCTCATGCAGTCCTACTCCATCTGCCCATGACGTGAATCATCCTGTTGTCCAGCGTGTCCATGCTGTCAACGCCACGCACGCATGAGTCACATAGGAGCCGTTTTAGTTATTAGATCAACTGTCGTTGTTTTGCAGTGCTTGTGTTCAAGTGACCCTTGTTTTACTTAAGAGTGGCTCCAAAGGACAAAAGCGGTGATGCTGGCCATTTGAACATGCCAAAAAGAAGCTGGAAATGGCTTCCGTTAAGGGAAAAGGTGAGAGCTCTTCACTTAACAAAGGAAAAAATAAAAATTGTAATACTAAAGTTGTTGAGATCTACAGTGAGAATGAATTTTTTATCTGTGAAATTGTGAAGAAGAAAAAAATTCACATAGTGTTGCTGTTGCACCCCAAACTTTATCATAGTAGCATTAAACCAAGGGTGGAGCCCTGCTAAGTGCAGAGCTCTGTGTGGCTTTACCAGTAAGCACACCCCAAAAGTTGGCTATGTAGGGAACTTTTTGTTTCCGAATGACTGGATTCGGTACAGTGGTAAGAGAAGGAAACTTTATTTTTCCTGCACTTGTGTTATAATCCTTTTTCAATTCCTTCTCCCTTCCTGCAGATCCTATGGAATGTTCTGGTCTTTTTCAGATATTAACAGTCTAGTGCAATATTTTATTAAACTCCAAGCTCTCAGTCACTACCTTTGCCCCGGCTGGAGCTGGGAAACTTGCAGAGACTTGCTCCTTCTCTTTTTGTCTTCCTGGCTGGTCTACCTCTCACTCTTCATGTTGCTGTTGGCTCCTTCAGGGCTGGCCAGGGGTGGAAGGAGATGGGCAGCGGATGGGAAAGGTCTTCCTTACTTGGCAGGCCCAGGTACGATCTGGCATGAGGCCTCTCTGAGTTGAGCACCCAAGTGTTCCTCCTTTCTTTCATGGGTGTGTCTCTGGGTTCTTCTAAGCTCCTCCTCTGGGGACTTTCAGCTGTGGTTTTCTGGTGCGGGTGATGCCTCTTTGGTTAGATGTTGATGACATTCTCCCAGCCCATGGCTGGTGGTTCACTGCAGTCTCCTTCTGCTGGGGTTGTCCACCCAGCACTCTCTAATTCTAGTGGTCCTCTTGGATAGTTTTCAAACTGCCTCATGCTGATCTCTTCCTCAGGGTTCGCATGTGGACCTTGGGAAACGTGTATTTTTGCCCTGCCATTAGTATAGCTCCTTCAGTCTGCCAGCACAACTTCTGCTCCCTGCCCCCAGCCAGAGACTCTCTCAGAGTTTCTTCCAAGTAAGTGTGACTCATACCAGTTCTAGAATCTGCCCCAATTCCAAGGAATATATGGCAAGTCCGTAAGAGGTTCTTGAAACTCATCTCAATTGGTCCATGTAGTGGAGGGTTAGGAGGGCATTTCAGCATACAGCTTTTTTTTTTTTTTTTTGGCTGAGTTTTGTTCTGCTGCCCAGGCTGGAGTGCAATGGTGCAATCATGGCTCACTGCAGCTTCAATCCCCTAGACTCAAGCAATCTTTCCATCTCAGCCTCCCAAGTAGCTGGGACCACAGGCTTGTGCCACCGTGCCCGGCTGATTTTTTTTTTTTTTTTTTTTTGAGAGATAGGGTCTCACTATGTTGCCCTGGCTACAACTTTCTTTCTGAAGAAAACTTACCGTTTGTTGCTCCTCCCTGATGGATAGTTACTCTTTTCCTACATAACCTGGAGATGAGTGATAGACCAGTGCGAGCAGAACAAATTATTGGTCTTGCCCCTTTCTTTACATTTGAAGGTGGTTGGCACCTATTGTACTTAGTGTTACGGCTTTAGCAGATAGTGAGATAATAAAGAGAAGTCCCACTCAACCATCCTGTTACACAAGTAATGGACTCAGAGACATTTGAGGATAACTACAGCTATGGATTCAACATTTGTGTCCCCCACAAATTCACGTGTTGAACTCCTAACTTCCAGTGTAGAAGATTGGGCCTTTATGCAGGTAATTAAGGTAATTTAGGCCATAAGGGTAGAGAGCTGATCTGATAGAATTTGAGTCCTTATACTTAATTCTCTTTCCCTTGTGCCCTCCATGTGAGAACACAGTGAGACGGAGGACGTCTGCAAGCTAGGAAGAGGGTGCTCAACAGAACTACATTGGCTGGCACTTGGATCTTGGACTTCCCAACCCTCAGAATTGTGAGAAAATCAGTGTCTGTTGTTAAAGCCAGTCTGTCTATGGCATTTTTTTAAGTCGGCCCGAGCTGACTAAGATGACTACCCTGCACTTTCATGAATGTCACCTTTTTAAATGTGAGCATCTGCCATTCCTTTAATCCACCCTATAGACCAAACTCTGTTTGTTCACCTCTCTGGACAGGCTCTAGTTGGTTACATGTTGAAGTCACACTTTTCACAGGAACAATGAGCATAAGTGAAAATTGGGAGTCATCTCACTCTTCGAAAACCTCTTTGGTTGTTCTTAAAATGTAAATGTAAAATATGAGATGAGTAGGATAAAGAAAGGGTTAGATGCACAAACTTAAAGATTACTCTCCTGTAACCACGATTTAGATGGTTGTCTTTCTCTTTTGCTGAGGTTGTATGGTAGAATTTGGGTAACATAAATGCACTTTGGATGCAGTGTGACTGTATTCAATTTCAAGGATGATGCCCAGATCTGAACATGCTGTGCTGTCCCAGGATGGTCTCCTGAGCAAAGGGAAAAGGAGTCTCAACCCCAGGACCCAGAGGATGTAGTTCTGTGAATGCTTCCTGAAAGTGCAGTGATGCTGGTGGCCTAAATCCATCCTGCTGTCTCATTTGGTGTCTCATGTTCTCTACGTTATCCTTAATGTATGCTTTTTAAATGCAGGTACAGAGCTCATACTTAACATCTATTTAATCATATTTCTTTCAGATTCTGTCCTTTGATGTATTAAAATATATTTATAGATCTTAAAATATCTTCTCACATGATACTTATTAAATGCAATGGGAAAACCAGTTAACTTTACAGAGGGGAAACCTGACAGCCATCCCCACCACCAAATGACCAGTGTAAGGCATAGTGGCATCATGTACCTCTGGATATCTTTCACTAAGAAGGATATAACACCACTGGGCATATTGCTGAAAAGGCATGAACTCCATTGAACCTTGAGAAAATACCAGACACACACCCAGATGGTGAAACATTCTATAAAATAATAGTATATCAATGTCATTAAAGACAAGAAAGACTGAGGACCTAGCTCACAGATTGGAGGAGATTAAGAAGACATACTGACTCAATGCAATGTGAGTAAGAAGAAGATCATCAGTAGGAAAATCGGTTAAATTCAAATAAGGTCTGTAGATTAGCTAAGAGTATTATATGAATGGTAATTCATGGTTTTAATAATTTTACCTGGGTTTTATAAAATGTGAATATCTTAATTGAGAGTAATGGGAAGCATTTATTCCTGTGCTTAGAGTCACTGTTTTTTTACTGAATTTTGATAGTGATTTTTTTTCTTACTAAAATTNTAAGAGAAAGCTAGGAAAGGTTTTTGCAACTTTTCTTTGAGTCTATCATCATTACTTTAAAGTAGAAGTTTACAGATTGATTTATTGGGTCCCTCCTCTGTGCCATTCTCTGTGCTGGGAGGAGAGCAGTAAACAAGATACCAGCTCTGCTCACAGAGGCTCACAGTAGAGTCTGCAGAAGCAGTCATGTGCTGCTTGTTATGATGAGGGCATGCAGTCAGGCAAACGGCAAACAGCAGGACTGTTGGCTAGAGAAAGCTAAAAGTGACATGGAAACTGAATCTCAAAGACAGAGTGGAGCTATCCAAATAAACAAATGGCATGTGGAAGAGAGATATGGGAAGCTTTTCATGTACAGGGGCAAATTGTGCAAAGGCAGAGCCCTTTGGGGAACTGTAGGAATAGATCTGAGTGCCTCGCCAGTGTGTCAGAAGGCAGGAACGGTGCATGCTGAAATCTGTCGGCACGAGGGGGAGCAGGATGCAGGGGCCAGCCCAGGAAGGTCTCCTGAAGGCCTGCTAAAGAGCTGGGAATGTGAAGCCATTGAAGAGTTCCAAACAGAAATTTGACACGAGATTTATGATGTGGTGCATGCACTCTGGTCACCAAGTGGCTAATTGACTGGAGCCACTAATCAACAGCTAGTCTCTGATTCCAGTCAGAGTCAGTGTGGCCAGACGAGGCTACTGAGGTCCTCCAGATGAGAGGGAAGTGGCCTGAGTGGGTGTAGAAATCAGAAAATGCCTTAGTGTCTTTGAATCTCACCTCTCTTCTAAGAAGGGGAAAGGACTTAATGTGAGTATGTACCATGAGCTGAATTCTATGCTGGACACGTCACTCTCATCTTTTCTTTATGTGCCTATCAAAGCCCGATGTTATAGGGATAGTCATCTTCATTTTAATTGTAGGTAGTTGAGGCTCTATAAGGGTCAGTGGTTGACATCCACTCCGTGCGTCACAGAGTGGTGAATGACAGAACTGAGATTCAAGTCCAGGTCTGCATGGCTCCAGGGCTCATCCTGTATTTACTGTAAAATATCACATATAATCTAGTATTATACCCCTCAGCCTCATGTGATTGGCCAGTTGTCTTGGGTAAGGTTTACAATCACGAGAAGCTAGTCTCCAGTGGCTCTTGTTTAGGTCAGACAGACTCTAAGCACACACAGAGCAGGAGTCCCCCTTCCTGGCCCAGTGCTGGGCCTGCACAGTCCCTGTGGCGAATTCTCATCACAGCAGGCGGAACTCTGCCCTGTACCCTCCCCAGCCCCTCTGTACCCCGGACTGCCAGGTGAGTGGAGCTGTGAAAGCATGCTGCACCTCCTTCACATGGTGTTCCAGTTAGGGATTTACTGAATGATCTTAAGCTATTTCTCATTCAGATTTGTGGCACCATTACTCTCTTTCACACTCAGCTGTGTTTCATGTTCAACTTAGATCCAGGTTCAAAGTATTTCACATGATGATTTTAGATTATAAACTAAAGACATCAGAAAGGCAGGAACATTTAAAACAAAGTAGGCCTCAAATTACACAATTTCATGACTAAGTCTACAAATGTAAGCTCGTGTTGCCTCTCCTCTCTGCTTGGGGCCACCATGATATCTTCCTGGTGTTTTCAAGTGAGGTTCTAGATATTTATTCTGAAGACCATTCTCTCTGAGTCCTTATGTCTTACCTCCCTCTGTCCCCAAAGAAACCTCTTTCCCTCTGATCATTTAATGTTCCCTCTTAGACTATATCGCTTCCAGGCCCTTTCTTTCTTTTTTT